AACGACGTTACGATTTATTGCTCAAACCAGGACACTTGGGAGTAGACAAGGAGAACCATGTAGCAGTCACACTGGGGTAACAGGATAGCTGGGGCCACCCTGGGCACATGCGTGATATGGCCACTTTACTTCGACTTCATTGCTGGTCTCTAGGAACCCTTCCTGTCACCCCAGCCAGAATCTCCTCCGGTCATATGGCCCGCCCTTTGTCCTCAGAATGATCCCATCCGGATGAAGTGGCTCCCATATCACCTCCGTGGGTACAAAGAGGGCTCTAGGTTGGGTGTAGGGCACAGTCTCATCCATCAGGATTTGGCTGAAGTGCCGTCTCCTCTATACGCCCTCCAACCATACCAGACAAAGTGATCTCTCTTCCCACAGACCGTGTTAGCACTGGCTGTCTGTGCAGCTTATATGCCGGCTAGTCCTGCCTGCGATTACTCAGTGGTTCAGAACGCGGGCTCTGGAGCCAGGATTTCAGGCTTCCACCTGGCTTGGGCACTCATTAGCTGTATGACTTTGGTAGGTAACTTCACCTCCCTGAGTGCCAGTTTTCTCAACATCATCTCACAAGGTTGCCATGAGGATCTGCTGTGCTATCTGTACTTAAAATTGTATTTGGAACAGAGCAGGACCTGTAGACGTGTTAGCTCTTACTGTTACCTCAAGGCAATAATCTTGTCAAGTGCCCATTAAAATCAAAATGTTCCATACGGCCCTTCCCAATGCTAGGCACACAGATGGTGAAAAATACTTCCCAGAAGTGTTTCCAACAAAGGCAGCTGGAACGTCTAGGTCAAGAATGGGGGGCTGGCATTGCCAAACACAGTGGCTTATGCCTGTCATCCCAGTACTTTGGGAGGTGGAGGCAAGAGGATTGCTTGAGCCCAGGAGTTTGAGTTTGGGTAACTTGGTGAGACCTCATCTCTATAATAAAGCAAAAAATTAGCCGGGCGTGGTGGCGTGCACCTGTAATTCTAGCTACTTGGAAGGCTGAGGCGGAAGGATCACCGGAGCCCAGCACGTTGAAGCTGTGGTAGTCGTGATCATGTGACTGCATTCCAGCCTGGGCGATGGCGTGAGACTGACTGAAAAAAAGGGGGAAGGAGGCCGGGCTCGGTGGCTCAGCCTGTAATCCCGCGCCTTTGGGAGGCTGAGGTGTGTGGATCGCCTGAGCCCGCAGGTTCGAGACCGGCCTGGGCAGTGAGACCTCATCTCTACAATAAATCAAAAAATCAGCCAGGCGTGGTGGCGCATGCCTATAATTCCAGCTACTCGGAAGGCTGAGGCGGAAGGATCACCGGAGACCAGCAGACGAGGCTGCGGTGGCCGGGAGCGGCCCCTGCACTCCAGTCTGGGCGACGGAGTGAGACTCCAACTCAAAAAACAAAAAGAAAAGGGGCGGGGGGAAGGTGGTGCTGGGAACTAACTGCTCCCTGCTCTTACAATAACAGCTTGGTGACAAGGAGCCTGCTTCAAGCCTGAACAAAGGGACAAGGAAGAGTCTGGCTGCACCTCCATGCCTTTCCTTGGTGGCCTCACGTCAGCACTGTGCACGATGACCTGGTTCCAGCTCCAGCTGGAATAGAGCAGACAGACTGCCTGCACTTTCACACTTTACCTTCCCTGATTGTCACCCGAGGGCGGAGAACGATCCCCGTTTGCGGTGAGGAGATGGAGACTCACAAGGTGAAGCTGGTGTGTCCTCCAGGTCCCACAGGGAAGGGCACGCCCTCCTCTCCTGGTGGCCCTTCCCAGTCACCATGGACTCCCGGACCACCAGAGCCCGGCTTTCCCTCCTCCTCCGTCACTTTTGCCAACTCCTCTCCCTCGAGACTTTGGCCTTCAAGGTTGTTTCTGAGCACCGGGCTTCGGTCTTCTCACTGTACAACCCTCCTTGCTGATCCCTTCTGTGCGACAGCCTCCATGTCAGCAGCTTGACCCGTTCCTGAGCTTCTCTACTGAGATGGCTCCTCCGTCCGAGACTCCACAAAGCCCAAGCTGACCCTCCGGCGTCACCACCAACTCCATCAGCTTTTCTCCCATAGTTCTTAGCTCTGTGCATCCCCAGCAGCAGGCTCCACCTCACCTCGAACACCTGCTTGCAGCCCTCCTGCCGTCAGCCAGGTCCAGGCAGCACCTCTCGCATCAACCCTACTTCCTGTTCTCCTGGCTCTGTCCGAGGCTCCCGTGCCTGTTCCTTCCTGTGACACAGCCTCCCGACAGGTCTTCTCTGTCTAGTCACTCTCTGCGCCTGCGATAGCTCTGACCTTCCGGCTCTGGGCCCCTGAGACCTGCCTCACGGGAAGTGGGACTCAGGCTCAGATGTTTTGGTTACTCACGATGGCCCTATTTAATAGACTTTTTAAGAAGGGCCTGTTGCTACAGGGAAGTCGGAAACCATCGTTCTAATCTAACCTTCATTGCTATTCTCTCAAAGGAGGAAAAACAAAGGCTCAGTGATTCCTGAAGCGGCAGTGACATCACTGTGACACCTGGGGCCTCCACAAGCCGGCCTCGGCCTCATTCCGTGGGGACCTCTTTCCCCGGGCCTGCCCAGCTCTCCAGTTCGTTCCTGCAAGCGTCTTCTCCCTCCTTACTGGTGCTGGCTCCATCTGTACCCCCACCGCCTCTTCATCAGTGTTGCCATCCTTCAAGGGCTCTTCTCGGATCTCCTCGTGGCTCTGTCCTGACACACGTCGTGTCCCATCAGACTTGGGATGCGTCTGTCTCCTCCATGGCACCAGAAATAGCTGACGCAGCACCAGATGGCATATACTCCAGTCGGCTGTGTGGCCCTGGAGGGTGGTAGGTATGGCGAGGGCTTGGCAAGCGCTGGAGGAACGCTGACAGAAGAATCCGCCACGAAAACATCTCAGCACACGCGTACACCTGAGGAGCCATTTGTCACTTCTCCCTTGTCAAAGTGGTAACAAGCGTGCCCCGGCAGACACAGGCTGAATCAACACTGCCAACGGAAGCCAGCCGCAGACTACCTCGAGAGACGACTGCCAGGTAGAGAGAACCACAGGAAGTATCTCCTGCATTTCATCAGAGATGAACAGTGCACCAAACTACTCACGGCCGCTTACTCTCACGTGCTCATCACCAGGTTATTTACTGAGCAGGGATTTGATGTGTACACACACGTCTCAGAACAGACCCAAGGTATTTTAAAGACAGAAATGCATGAAGAAATCAGTGGTATGCAACTCGCCACATACAGAAAACTGAGCACTAAAGGTCTAATTTTTGAAGCAGTATTGAATTTTTGAAGCAGTATTGAAATGGATTTTAAAGTTCCTCTGCCGATTGCCTTTTTCCTTCCTCAAAAACCTACTGCAAAGTTGCATGAAAATGGAAAGCAAAAGGTTTTCTCTGGAGGGCTTTAGAACCCCTGAAGCCTCCTCATGAACACTTGGCTATGACTGGAGCCAAGCTCCTGGCCGAACACCTATGTGTGGTGCCTCATGCCCCCCCCACAGTCAGTCACAAAGACGTGCCTAGCAAGCCACACTGGGACGAGCTGCCCTTCTGCACGGGTACCGGTGCACACCCAGGGCACGACAGGCTCTGGGGAATGCAGCCAAGGACTCGGCCCAGCCCGGCCACGCCTGCTCGTCCACCCAGCCAGGCGCCTTCATTCAGAGCCTCTGTGCCTGTTCCCTTGGGCAAGTCCTTTCTCAGGGAATTCTGCTGAGACTGGGGGAAGGGGGCGCTTGAAGACACTTCTCTCCACTTCTGTGCTGATCCAACATGGAATCCAGAGCTGATTTAATGAAGAGACCGTGGACTACTACTCAGCCTTAAAAAAAGGAGAGCCTGCCATCTGGCATGACACGGCTGAAACTAGAGGACACGGACAAGTGAAATGAGTCAGGTGAAGAGAGACAAGCGCTGTGTGATCTCACTTTGCTATGGACTCTAAGAAAGTAGAACTTCAAAGCAGAGGGTAGAGAAAATGGGGCGAAGCTACAGTTATGGAGGGTGAATCCACCTAGAGCTCTCATCACAACATGATGGCAGTTGGCAGTGTACTGTGTCCTGGACAGCTGCCAAGAGAGATTTTAGGTGCCCTACACAGACACACACACACACACACACACACACACACACACACACACACACACACACGGTAATGAGATGACTGGTATGTCAATTTGCTTTACTGCAGTCATCCCTTCACTCTATATAACAAAACATTTTGTTGTGTACCTTAAAGACATACAATTTAAAAGATCCTCAAACTGGGGTAACCCCTTTGGGTTCCCTCCCACAGTGGGGAGCTTTTTTGTCCTCGCAATAAATCCTGCTCACTAAAACAACAACGAACCCCCCCCCAAAAAACCCCTCAAACCAAACCTGATCCCAAAAGGGATGAGCACTTTCTCCAAGCAGCTGACTCACGCCCCTCAGGGAGTGCCCTCAGGCTGGCGCTTGCCTCCTGCTTGGCTGTCCCTATACTACACGGGGACTCCCACACCCAGCAGCTCAGCCCCTGTGGAGCCCGACAGACTCTCAACTTACTTGGTTCTTCTGAACAGGCACTCTCTTGCTTATTTTTTTTCTTTTTGGGCTCCGGCGATCCTTCCGCCTCAGCCTTCCGAGTAGCCGGAATGACAGGCATGCGCTACCACGCCCGGCTGATTTTTTTGATTTATTGCAGAGATGAGGTCTCGCTGCCCAGGCAGGTCTCCAACCTGTGGGCTCAGGCAATCCACTCACCATATTTTGAAAAAACTGTAACAACTGCCGTGTGGGGAAACAAGAGAATCAGGAGAAATGCTTTCTCGTCCAGCTCCAGCACTGAGTGAGCAGCGGCTGGCCCTGACTGGTGGCTGAATCTGTGAGGCTGAGCCTTCCTGTCTGCAAAATGAGGTTACTCAACTCTATTTTGCTGAATGTTCCTTTCAGGTCAAATACGCCAGAGTCTATGAATTATGCTTCTTAAAACTATCTTCTGAAAAAGTTAAAAAAAAAATAAAGTGGCAGAATCAAGCTAACATTTTTTACTTTTTATTTTTTAAAGGTCACGTTTACAAAGCAGCATTGAAAAATAAATCATTTTACAACTCAACACAGTTTCTGACAGTGCTGGCCTGACACTGGTCAGTCGTGATTTACGCATGTCTGTCCCCGACAGTCACACACTCCTCTTCTTTCTGTGAACGACTCAGCGCTTCTTCCAGGTAAACTTCCTGCGGGCTCCCTCCTGGCCCGGCTTCTTCCGTTCTTTGATACGTGGATCAGGAGTGAGGAGTCCAGCTGCGGCATAAAGACAGAAGCCTTTAGGAACCAGACAGAATGCATGATGCCAGGCAGAAAAGCAGGTGACTCGGGAATTTACAGGCACTGTTGCTAGAGAACAAAACCACACTAGCTAAATGACTTGAATCTGCTTTCCTTAACCTGTAAGAATCATGGCTCCTTTTTGGTTTTTAAACATGTTCAACTTCAGATAAAGCTGCCTCTGGATGGGCAGTCACCATTAACCATAAGGGAACTGACCTGAGTGTTTACTACTGTGGAGGCGAGGGTGTTAATGGAGACCGGAGGCGGAGGAGAGAAACTTACTGTTCGATCAAGTATGAGGAAGTGCACACACCACAGCTAACCACAAACACGAGCATGCACATTACAAATACGACTTGTCATATTTGAAAAGAAATGTATTATTCTAATTTGTGTGATAATATTCCCTGGTATTTTGTTTCGGAATGCAAAAAATCAAGTTTCAGAGTTGTATTCTCAGCAGAAGCAGTTTATTCTAGAAGAATAAAGTCAGTTTAAGCTGGAATCGTCCACTCTCCTAACTGTCAGGGTGATTGTGCTCCTCCCAGGCAACTGCTGAGCTGCTTGCAGCGTGTGGTCCACATGGATGCGCCCCAGCAGAGGCTGGAGACATAGTGACTGGTCCGTGAAGACCGCAGACTCCACCAGTGCTGTGGCAGGAACTTCCTCAACGAATGACAGGTCTCTTAATGGCCATACCGCAAAGGAAACCTTCAATCCTTATTATATACCCATAAGCTTTTGTGCTTACTAGTACTTAATGGATATGCACCGAGTAAAGCAACAGCATTTTGGACAAAATACAGACAAGATCTGTCTCAGTTCTAGTCTAAACTGTGAGTAACAATGCTTTATTACTTTTAGATATGCACAGTAGCTCAAACTAGCACAACAGCTAAGGTCCTATTAAAATATTTAATGACGAGATATGAATCCCATGTGATGGCAAATTGTTTACAAACAAATGGATCTTTAAGAAGAGGCTTAAACAATGAGCAACTTAGGCCCTAGGCAGTGGCTTGTGCCGGAGGACAGGACGTGCACAGACTCTCTCACTTGGCCAGAGAGCAGCTCGTGGACTGAATCCAGCCTAACTGTGCTGTCACCTGACAGAACACACAGCTCTGTCTTCCTTTGATAAATAGTGTAAAGAGCTCCTCAGCTTGAACTTCTCTCTCCCGCCCCCCCGCCCCGTTTATTATATTAACGTCGACCCCTAATGAGAGAATCAACGACACAATTCTTTTTCATGCTGCACAGGGACTTTTATACTCATGCTCAAGCTGGGTCACATAGAGTAAAGTAAAAGAAAATTCAAACTAACATCACAATGGAAAAAATAAAAATCTCCAATAATTAAAAACACACACACACACACACAAACAGACAATTATAATTTGCTGTGATAAAACAAAAACAACCAATTTGTCTCTTAAACAACTTTGGTAAGCACTTGTTAAACTGGACAAAAGGTTATGCATTAAGACCAAAATAAATGTTCCTGGACCCTGGGACGGAACGTTTTTGCAGGGTTCAAATAATCATCGTGGGGCATGCCCCCTTTTCTTTCTCCAATTCAAGTTACTTTATAGAAATCAAACCTGATGATGAGTCTGTATCATGAAAGGAGAAGCCAGTGGCCTGCAGTATGACAGGTTTACCCAAGCATTTCCTCACTGACTTCGGGTCACCAGTACAAGAATCAGACAGCCACGTGTAGCTAGCTAGGATCAGGCCACCAAGGCCCCTCCCGCCCAGGCTCATACCTTGTCGCATCCACTCGACTTCATCCTCGGTGACAAAGCTGCACAGGGCTCTTGCCATCGCCAAGCGTATGGCTCCAGCCTGCGCCGACCTTCCGCCCCCTGAGACTGTGCAGGTCACATCGTGTTTGCCAAGTCGGTCAAGGAAGTGAAAAGGGAACTTGAGCTGTTCTCTAGAGCACATCACAAGGAGTGTGGGTAAGTTTACTGTAAAGACAGGATTTTACCGACAGCTGATATTCGGAATATTTATAAGGCCGTTATTCTGCATGCCAGTGTTATTCTCTTCATGCTTCCTAATCCATCTATTATACCAATATATAGAAACAATCATATTTCCGACACTTAGAATACTCTGCTAAGAGCTGTAAAGTGTATTTCTCTTTCTCTTGGGCATGGCGATGTGCTCCATCTTGCTGTTCGTTTAACCCCTTTATCTCACGAGAACTTTACAAGGCTTGAAAATAATCTTGTGAAGAAGTCGTAATGTTGGGGAACTCCACTGATCAAGTAATTCTAATCTCTCTGGATTCAACCAGATATAAAATAGGCCTTCCCAAACAATTATCAAATGCCATTCGGAGTCTAAATAAAGTATACTATAATGTATTTGCATGATGTATAATGCTTATCTTGATACAGTTTTTCAAGTTACTGAAACTACATCCAGTCTTGCCCCTACTCCCCAAAACATACATTATTCCTGCTACAGTTCTCGAAGTTGCCAGGGCCTGCTACCTGCCTGGGGCCAGGTGACACGCTACACAACCCCAGGGAGGCCTGCTCCCTCAGGATGGATGAGTGCCCATGGGGTCCCAGGCACGTACCACAAGAACATGACCTTGGCTGGACTTTCTTTCACTCAACTGAACAAGAATTTGTTGGACACCATTTCTGGGCCAGGTATAATGTTCACCATCACCTCTGTCAAGCACTTTGGTTTTGCTATTTTTGCCTTAATATCTCGGCTAAACTTTTATTTATTAAAGCCCATTTATACTGTATTTACTTAGTCTGACCCTGTAGCTTTTTAGACCCCAAATAATGTTTATTATAACACAGTTACGCTGAGAAATGGATATGAACAGTGCTACTCTTTATACTTAAAAATAATCACAGGCAGATGGGCAGAAGACAACCTCTGAAAGCCAGAGCAAACTGGAATCAGTAATGACACTATATAGGATGACAAGTCCTGCAACAACAACAAATACACACCTATACTGGCTTTTTCAACAAATTCTTCAAAGTAACTTAATAAAAAATTGCAAACAGTACTATTGTAAGTAGTAGCCATGTTATCATAACTAAAGAAATAAAGAAAATTTAAAGTTGGGTGTGGTGGCCTCATGTCTGTAATCTCAGCTATCCAGGAGCCTGAGGTGGATCACTGGAGCTCGGGCAACATAGTGAGACCTCATCTTAAAAAAAAAAAAAAAGAAAAAAAAAAAAGAAAGAAAGAAAAGAAAAGAAAAGAAAGGAGAGAAATCGATGATCTAGTTCTGCCACTGCATTTATCTTGACCACTCTGGCTCCATTACTCTGGCACATCTCTAGTAATTACATTATAGAATCAATTTTTTTCTGAGTTTTAATCTAAGCTTCTTTACTTATATAAACATTTGTTAGAGAATCATAACATTCTGAAAATGATGGCAGGTAAGTGTCTAAGCTCCCAAACAAATAGCTGTCCAGAAGCCTCCCATGCAACCTCTCTTACGTCACAACGCAGAGAACTCGAACCAAGATCCCTGATTCTTTGATCACTAGTCCCTCGTATTGGTCAATGGTCACTGCACTGCTGACTTGTAAGTTCCTGACCTGCTCCTGCAAGAGGAATCCCTACAGCTACTCAGAGATGAGGAGAAGGTGCGGGTGCCCATTCCAACCAGAACTAGCCTTAGGCTTCCCATCCAGATAGGAAGTTTCTTGACGACAGGAATCATATCTTAATCAGCTCTGATAGCTTCACAATGCCCAGAACAAGACTGGATATACAGATGATCCGTAGTAAATGCCTACTGGATTCAAACTGAAGAATAAAAATCTAAGGATGTAATTTGATTGTGAGATCAAGCCGTAACTGAGACTTGCGGTTAAACCATCAGGCGTTACAGCTGAACACAAATGGACAGACAGGTTATGGTCAAATGCCATTCCTCCTACAACTCCCCAAGCCGAAATCACCATCCCCTGCGTTGTGGGTCTTTCTCTAGCTTGTCCTAAGGGAAATAAGAGCTTTCTCCATGCCTTTTCCTGTAAGAATCGTAGAATTAATTTAATTCATCTTAAATAAAGTTAAGAGTGTGTTACTTCTTGTCACAGGAACACACAAATAAAAGAAACACACATTTCCTAAAGTAACTATTTTGTCCAGAAGCTTACACTCTATTAGGAGGGACCTCTTTTGCTTACATACACATTGGGTTAGAAGAGCTTTAGCCCTTTTGACCTTAAATACCATAACATAGTCAGGAAATGGGAAAAACATTAGGAAAGGAGGAACCAGTCGCACGGAGCTCCTGTTACTTGTGGCTAATGATTGTAACTACGGAAAAAATAACAACTGTCTCAAGAAGAGGCCTTTATATATAGCAACTTACAGAGAGATAGAAGATGAGTACATTTAGAGGACTAGAAGAACTGTAGTATCCATTTATGATTAATGCCTATTTCTCCATGGGACACAAAGTTTAAAAAAAAAGATAAAACTGCCATATTTAGCTCTGGGAATGAAGCAAAGCCTGATGAGTTCTTGTTTTAACCCATAAATGCCAGATTTCTCTGCTTGCTCAGTGTATGTTCCTCTGAGCAAGAAAAAATCGAAAATGATATAGCAGACTTTTTCTAACGTGGACGATCAAGAAAACAAACACAAACCAGAACAAATTCACCCACAGGGCTCCTCACCCAGTGGCTTAAGTCAGTTTTCAGTGCCCCAGTCGGCTTCCGTGGCTGTTGTTTGTCTCTGAATGCCCACCCCAAAACCAGAAGGTGGAAATGGACTTTTCTTACACCTTCACATAGTCTGCACTTCAGAATGTGATCTACGCCCAAGAATACCCAAATTCCAGTAGGGTCTTACGAAAACAGGAGGAGAAAGGGTCAATTAATGAGAAATTCTGCTTTTTAAAAAATCTGGCAACTACAGAAAAAGCAGCAACAGATTCCATTTAGCTTGTTTGATATGTTACACTGGTAAAGAGAAATAATCATTTAGACAAACATAATTAGAAAATCACAAGCCTTCTTGATTATTTTCTTTAAAAATGAAAATCAAAATCAAGAATCAACGAACCTGTCCTGTGTTACTGGGAAGTAAAGCAGATAATCAAGTTCATTTACTTTTATCCTTCCACTTCCATGTTCATAAAGAACTACTTCGGCTTTTGCACTCTTTCTTTTACCTATAAAAATATAAAATTCCTATTAGTGAAAATCTTAAAGACCAGGTAAAACCACATTAAAATGTACTTTCTCAGAATAACAGAATATACAACACTGTACATAGGAAAGTTTGATAATAATTATAAGTAAAACAAAAATAAAACAGGTGAACTACAACACAACAGATGTGATAAAACTCAGTGCAGGGTAATTCTGTTCTTCAATTCCATTTTAGGAATACTACAATGAATTTAAATTGGTTTCAACAACCAACAAAATAATTCATATTTGTTTACTTAAAAAAACCTAGTGTTCTTCTCTTATAATCAATAAGAATGTTCTAATAACATTATTTTTAGAAATACATAAATAGTATGATAAAATATGATTGAAAGAAAGAAAATAAGTGCTTAGGAAAGATCACATTTCTCTGAAAGCACCACAGTTATTCAAAATGACAAAGAAATGGTGCTAATTTTTTAAAGAGTGGCAAATATATCATTTAACAGGTCAACTCTCAAAAATTGGACCACGTCAAACATGTCTGTGTACAAGGAGAATGTGAGTTGAGGACCTGAAGTTTTCACATGTTATGTAGCTCTGGCATCTGACATGCGGATTCACTGAGCACTTTCATTTTTTGAGAAGAAATCTTCATTTTAAACATTTTCTTGACTCTACCAGATTAAAATGCAAAATAAATGAGTTTTTCTATAAACATGTACAAATAAAAAGTGTTAATACGATTGTGAATGCATGCATCCGTGTTTTTTCTTGGGACGTTACAAGGTTTAGTTTTTTAAAACTTCAATAAAATCTTAAAAATCAGAAAATCCAATGTAGCAGTAGCAAAAATAAACAAGTAAACAAACAAACAAACCCAAATGGTTATCAGTGAGCAATAGCAAGTAAAAATAATTGCAGTTTTTCAATCTTCACGAAATTCATTTTCTCTCCACAGAATGCCGTTACCTTCGCTTGTGCTAAAGGCCATTCCTTGCTCGTCATACTGCACGGGTTCAATCGGCTGCTTTTTTGATTGAATAGTTACACTTCTGCGAAACCCCTGCACAAATTCTTCCTCAGCAGCACCACACTGCAATGTCAATAACTTTTCCAGCAGCCGAATGAACTGCATATACTGCAAACAATAAAAATTCATTAGAAGACGCAAGTGTAATTGCATTTGCTAAATTTTTTCCATTTTTGCATACTTGATCTTTCCAATGTTGCTTTTCTTGATGAATTTTGACAGGATGACACTTCTGCATCTTCATGCTGCTTTTAAAACAGCGTGCAGATGCATTGCTTTGCGTATGGATCTTTAGTGCTAAATCTTTTCTTTCAAGAAACAAAGAGATTTATCATTCAAGGAGAAATCAATTTCTCTGTATTACGATTATGAAATTGAGATTTAAATTCATTTTTAAAAAGTATTTGGATGATCCTCAAGTGCAATTTCCACTCTTTATTAGAACTGTATCAAGAAGAGTTTTATAAATAATTTTTAGTAAGTTATGTATAGTAAAATGGAAGGAGTATGATTTTGAGAAAATGTACCTCTTAAATTATATTTCATAATACATTTGGCAAATATATCTTTGGCTGTTCAAGCTGTGTTACTTTAATGTTTATGATTTCCTTTAAAACCGAACAATCAAGCTATTTAAAAATTCAAGAGACACTTGACTTAAAGGGCAACCTCTTGAAATAAATTATCCTTGCTCCTCTGTGCATTTTTTTTAATAGTTCTTGAACATGTGATTAGAAAGTAAACAACTTGGAATTAACCCCTTAAAATTAGAAGCCAGAATAATCACTCTAAAGTGTTGATGGAGAAGGAAACAACTAATGCTTGAGATTCTTAGTTAATATGGATTGTGGAACCCAGTTTTTGATAAGCTCATTTATGTTGTCATCCCTAAAAATCATACTCATCTTTGTCACTGCTGCCTCTACAGTAAAAATCTGCCATCAATGGTTGAAAACATTTAAAAATCTCACCAGTAAGACTACTGTCAAAAGAACTTTTTCAAATGCAGCTTCCTGTGATATAAAAATAACACCGAGGGCATTTTCTCCTGAGGTGAAATAACTGAGGTTCTTGCTTCCCCTCCAGTCACTAGCCAACTGCTCTGTTCTCAGCTACTCATAATTCCACCTCACACTCTCGATCGCCACGGCGACACTTACAAAGGGCACTTCTGGCACAGCACAGCCTTGCTTGAGAGCTAGGTTTAAGGTCTGAAAAGTCACTCCCTCATCTGGATGCCAGCCACAGACATCAGGATTTCTTCTGGTATCCAGTATCCCAGAGTACAGAAAATTATCATATACAACTTGTTTGTTTTGTTTTCATAGCTGCAGCCTGTGTTAAAGTCCTTGGGATATTTACAAAGTAGAAAAAGGAATACCTGAGTTATAAACATCTAAGTAGCCAGAAAACAAAGGAAAGAATGAAAATTACTTGTTCAGTGAAGAAGCAAAGAGATTTTCCAGTTAGATGCAAGTGCAGCAAGACTTGGCAGTTAGGATATTAGAAATTACCTCCAGATCTACCACTAACCAAATGCCTGACACCTGATGTAAGCAAACTGCAACATTTCCAAATCATTAATTTCTATAATATGTTAAATAAGAAAAAGAGCAGTTGAAATACACGCAGTTGAAGTCACTGCCATGGAAGAAAAGAAGTCCTTCTTGAAACAATTTGTGAAATCTATCTACACTTCAATCTTCCATAAAGTAATCTCAATTACAGCATAAAAATATTTAAGACATCAAACTTCCTCTAATAATGTTGGGAGGTATTAGAACACAACAAAATAAGAATGCAATTAAGACTACAATATTACAGGGAGTAAGATTCACCTGAAAAGTGTTAAAAAGATGGATTCTTAGATGACCCCCTGGAGATTCTGTATTGGGTCTGGGATGAGGCTTAGGACACTGCAGTGGTGGTTTGCAGATCCCAAGATGAAAACCACTGACCTAACAGATATGGCACACAAGGCAAGCCAGGAAGCAGTAAACAGCACGGAGGAAGCCATGTTCTGCATCCCTTCTTTACTTAACCTGGAACTGCTCCTTAAACTTGTCATTAACTTGTAAAATTAGCTATTGGCCATAGTGAAGGAGATGAAGTGGTATCTGTGTGTTCCCCTTAAACAACTGGCAGAGGACGTGAGGGCATTTCTAAAAGGAGCATCTGGTAACTTGACAAGTCAATCTTCCTGACCAGTTATGAGGCCCTCCCATAGCAGAAATCAATGATGAATGTGTCTTTTAAAAAAACAAAAATCATCTTAGGAACACCTGCCTCTGAGGAATATTACTATTAGGATCCTAAATACAGCAATTGTCTGCATTCTTATAGCACAGGTCCCCTTAAATTAAAAAGATTAATTACTCACATCTTGATCTGACAGTTTTTCCACTAACATTTCTTCTAGTTCCTCCTTAATCAGCCATCTGCTGCCAATCAGGTCTCTGTTAAAATATCACATATATTCACTTTTTAATTAACCATGCAATTAGAGTTATAGCACAAAAGATCCCACATACAGTAGCAATTTATGATTCAAAAACAAGTTATTATATTACATAGGAGTGCTTTTATCCAAGTAAATTATTTTTGAGAAGTATTATTCCATTCCTTAATCTGCTTTAGAAATCGACTCTAGCAAACGTTTTGTTTAAAGAGTTAAATATGCCACTACAGAACTCTCTTGGTTTTCAAAGCCACCAGATTTCTAGAAGATTAAAATTGTGCCTGCGTAATGTACTTTAAAGGAGATGTTATGGCCACAAAGTTAACCTGAAAACAGCCTAAGGAGTAATCAAATCCAACGAAGGAGCAGTAGTATATTTACAACTTAAACAATATGTGCTCAAAGGTATACATCTTTTGCACAGGAAGAAAGATGTGAATAAGGAGGCCAAAATTTAACACCGGTTGCTCAAGTTGATGGATCTGATCTATCACTGTTTACAAAATGGAAGGAGAAATGTTGAAATAAAAAAAAGTTAAATAAATGTGCAGCTGTATACATTAAAATGCTGAGGACCTCATATCCAAATATAGTAACTAAATATCTAATACATAAATCTGAAATGAAAAAACATAAAAATAATCTCAACATTTGATTCTTCTTAAAAATAACCTACTATTTTGAGCCCTAACATTAATGATTAATGATGAAATACTAAACGCATTTTAGGCTTTAGTAAAAGATATCACTAAGTAACATTTTTAGTTCAAATTTTATGTATATTTTAATGTAAAAAAAGGAGCATACCTAGTTTCAGTTTTTTTTGGAAGTAGACCTTTGGCTTGCAACTGATTTTGATACTTTTCTATATTGAGTAACTTTCCATACACATCCTAAGGTAAATAAAATACATAGTATATGTTAAAATAAGAGAGACAGTACATTATAATTTATGATATACTTTATAGTTTTTCCCTGTGAGTACTCTTTATTTCTAACGTAACCTCGTCAGAGAATCTAGCTGCAGGGTAAATACATTTTACTTTAAATTAAAATGCTTTTAATAACAATGTCTCATTCAAACTAAAGGATGGTAGAGGAACTTCAATGAGAATTTGGCATAATAGTACACCTTAATAGATTCTAACATAACTACAAAAATTTTACAACTCCACTTCAGTGAGGTTGGTTAAAAAAACAAAAACACCTGTAAACTATTTTCCTTAGTTTCACGAACAAGACAAAAATACTCTCCTTAAGAATCACAACTTATATGGCAATATGCACTTTAAACTTACAGAATTATCCAGTAAAATGTATGGTATTGATTGCGGAACTACTTATCTAATATTTAATATTTACATAACATTTGAGTCCTCATCATATGCTTTGTATCTTAAAAAGTTTTCTATCACATTAATTTTCCATTATTTGATTTCTTTCTACTAATTTACTTACTTTTTTTGTTTGAGACAGGGTCTCCCTCTGTCACCCCGGCTGGAATGCAGTGGCACGATCGCGGCTCACCGCTGCCTCAATCTCCTGGGCTTGGGCAATTCTTTTGCCTCAGCCTCATGAGTGATTGGGACTCCAGGCACGTGCCACCACGCCCGACTAATTTTTTTGACTTGTTGTAGAGAAAAAGTCTCACTTTGATACCCAGGTTGGTCTCGAATTCCTGAGCTCAAGCAATCTTTCTGCCTCGGACTCCCAAAGTGCTGTGTGGGATTACAGGCCTGAGCCACCGCACCTGTTTCTTTCTACCAATTTACTTCCTAAAAAAGTCTGTGAACGTGTGTCACTTGTTAAATTGCAATGGAAGTAGGTGAAAGTATGTCACTTTGTGAGAATGTGTTAAAAGCAATATTCCAGCAATAAAGGCTATCATAAAATATATCCAGGCAATGAGTTTACAAGTAAAATAATGCAAGTCTTCCAATATTTTTGAGAGCAGACATAATTTTTTAAGGACTAACACTCAACATGTTTGTATTTATTCACTTATAGTTTACATATGACCTGCCTATATACCAACGCCTAATAACAGACGAACATTTTAAAAGGATGAGCTAGAGATAATATAAATGACCTTTTTTCCCTGCCAATCATGATGGCTTCCAATATCATCAGCTAATGTTAATAAGACACACCTTGTTACTGAGAGAAATGTCAATCCATATCTCAAATAGTCTTTTTTTAAATTAAGAAAGCTAGAAATTTAACTTCTAAAACAGATTTTATTACATACTTTCAATTGTATGGCCCTCCATATAAAGCAAATTATATTTGGGAAGTTTTTTCTTTTAAAGATGTGGGATACAATTCAAGATTAGATATACAAGTGATCATCGTACAGGTAAAGTTGGGGCTTCCCTCTGGTCCCCATTTCGCCTGGTTTGAGATCAGATAACATACTGATGTTATGTCCCGCCCCCGCCCCCCCAGTTCCAGTTACTACCAATCCCTTTCTTATAGTATTATGGCAAATGTTTCATAGTCTTAATAATTTCAGGTTGGGGGGGCAATTTCTTGTAGGCTCTCATTAGACTCCCACATTACAAAATAATGTTGATGATAAAGTTTGTTCTAACAGTAAGAGAAATGTCCTTTTTGCCACTGTCATCATATTGACTAGTGTTTGCATTTTAACACTAGTTTCATTTTGCAACCTCTTTTCAGGAATCTATCTCTTGAGGGTGGGAGGGAAGAATGAATGAATGAAAGGAAAGAAAGACTGAGTCTTTGACTTTCTGCAACATAAATACAGGTGAGAAAAGATGAGATTATACTCAACGAGTTGGACTTCTCAGAGAATAAGGAAGTAATAGTTCATTTCTTTTTGGCTGGAAAGACTCCCAATGTCTGTTTTCTTTTTTATTATTAAGGGTAGTAGTATTGACCACTTAGAAAAGCAGCAGAGAGAAAAGGAAGAAAAGTAGCACTTGGAAGCTACAAAACCAAGGGTGAGTTAGGCTATCAGTGGACATGGGAATCTCAAACAGAAGGTGAATCTACTGCTCTTGCTTAGTAATTCTCGAAGTGCTGCCCCCAGACCAGACAGCAGCAGCATCCTTGCCTAGACTGGCGAGAAACCTAAGTTCTCGGTCTGCACTCCAGACTTGCTGAAGAGGACTCTCTAGGGTGGGGTGCAGTGGTGTAATGATGCTTCATGATGCAACTGAAGTTTGAGAATTACAGAGACTCTAGTTCAACAGGACAGCAAAGGCACAAAGTTAACTGAATCCTAGGATTCACTTGAAGTGTAACTGTCTTTACAACCGCATCCCAACCACATTCCTGTAGCAGCTGAGGAATATATCTGACAATTAAAACAAAACAAAACTGACCACCCTAAAGAAAGCAAGAACCAACACAAATCACCCACATATGGAATATATACTGTTATTCAATTTAAAATGAAATGTTATAGTTTGTCTCCCAAGACTTGATAAGCCTTGTTGAAAGTCTGTGATCAGGGTTCCTTTAACAAATCTTTAAAAGGTAAAATACCAAGCTGGGACTTCAACTGGATAGTATAGCAGAAAGTCTTCTACGTACCTCTCTTTCTAGAAAGCAATTCTCAAATGATGAACAGTATAAAATAAAGAAAACACTCCACAAACCGAATGCTCCCCACTTGTAGGGCATGGACAGACACAGGCAAACGGCATGTCACTGCATACGGGCACAGCCTGTCAGCCACCACAGACAGACTGAGGCTACCCTGGGTGCCCTGGTAAGGGAAGTGCACTGAGCCTCTCAGCTGCCTCCTCCAGAGTCCCGAGATCTGGAAAGTGCAAAAGTCAGAGATGGCAAGTCTTTCAAATCTAGCTACGGGTATTACGAACTTCAGAGAATACCAACAACATTAATAAGATACCTCTTCCGCTTGCAAGTGTTTACTTCATTTTCTGGAATGACCAAGGCAACTACAATAATAGTAATCGATCTGCCTTGTATGTAAATTTTAAGTCAAAATTCAGGCTGCTAAATTAACCATCATTTTCTAATGCCTTTTGAACAATTTTTCTTAAAATATTCTTCTACTATGCCATTTCCTTCTAGTGTTATATTTAGATTCCTAATAATTTACAAATGGTATAAGTAAAATAATCAAAAAAAATGTGGAAGAGGAGAAAGCAAACTATGAAAAGTTCATGTCAGATTTCCAACACAGTAAATTCTATTTATTTAAAGCAAGCGTTTACAATTTGATGCTCAGAACCCATCAAATCACACAATGCTCATTATGCCCCTCCTTATACTTTTTTAAATAGGAAAATATATGCAAAGTATGCACTTAGCACAGTGTCTGACCCATAGTAATGGTCAAGAATGATAGCAGGGGTGAGGCATGGCTTTCAAGAGTCAAATCATCTAAACAATTTTACTGGCAAACCATTTCTATTTATTCTTTCTCTTTTGCATAATAAAACCACTCTTGAGATTCTACCTTGGTTAGTCGCAGACAACAGTTCTCTGGAAAGTAGACTCTATGGCTTCAATTCCCTGAAGAGATGTGTACTAATTTACATCAAAAACTCCTTGAGGGTACAAAATATGCCAGGAACTGTCAACATCACAGATTATCACCGGTAGCTTCTGGTATATTGTTAAGCTTCCACTTAATTTTTAAGGAACACTAGAGAATTAGTATGACCCCACCTACACTAAGTTTATATACTGTATTTAATAGTGTAATTTTCAAATATGACAGGAATAACCCAGATGTGAAATGCTGAATCATTAATCACAGCTATGATTAATATTTCATAAAATCAAAGCAAGCCTATCCACCCCTTGTGTCATCAGATTTCCATAATGTATGAGTCAAATTTAGAAGGTGCCTAATTTGAAAATACCAGATGCTCAGGTTGCAGAACAGAAAAGCTTAAACTAAACCCTTCCAAGAGCATGAGCACTATGAGTTTTAGTATCCTTCTAAAATCTATTTCGGTTATTTTAACCATGTGGAAATCCCAACTTTTGGAAAGGTAAACAAGTAGCATTTCATGGGGGGATGGAATGGAAAAAGTCAATGGTATTTTGACAAACTAATAATAATTATCATCTTAGATACTAGTTCAGTAACAGGAAAGTAACTACCTTTAAATCTGTGTTTGCTAAATCACAGAAAACCGATTTCTTAAATAATCTTAATTTTTGGGCTACTGGTCTATACAAAAATTAAAACAAATACATGTAAATATAAGTCACTTATTACTAACCAAGATAGGGGTTTCTGTTTTACATTACAGTTCCAAGTGGCATACTTCTATTGTAGACTCCTGCTATTACTCCGGGGACACAACAGACTATACAGTTTATACATTATGTAATGCTACTCAACATAAAAAGGAAATAGTCCATGAACAGGTCATATGAAAAAAGATTCTGGGGAAGTGCACACTCGAGGGTGATGACCTGAAAGTACTTGTAACTCAGATACCATATGCTTTTACTACTGAAAGTTACATCATGTATTATGACAACAATTACACCATTACAAAAGAAGTAATCTAATTGAGATCAACATAGAGATAATATTTAATAATAAGTGGAATCTATCTTTTAAAAAATTAATTTTCCTAATTGACAGTATGCTTGGAGCATACCAGATATACCACGGTCATTATTCATATGGGAGGAAAAGGTACATTAAAGACACCTCTGGAACAGCAATTTCTATTGCTGAATTAATTACTGAATTAACTCCTGCTGTCAAGAAAAGTCTTAAAACAGCATGCAGATCTATTTCAGCACCAGTCTGTAGCTTTTTAAAAATAAGCACTTTACACGGTTGTAAAGTAGTTATTTCATGATACCTCACTGTGAGAAGGGTCACTATTTTAACTCCATTTTTAAAGATAAGAGCACTACATCGAAGAGTTTTAAGCACTCCCCCACAAGGTCACAAAGAGGATCTAGAAACTTCTAAACTAAGAAAGAATTCTGTGCTACTCAGTCCCCAAGACTTCTGCTTACTGCGTCTGGAAACTGCACATAATGACACACTGCACACTTCTGGGGCTGCTGTTTTCATGCTTTAAGAACTGAGATGGCGACTTAAGTCATTTAAATGAATGGGAGATTCTTTAAATAAGCCAGGAGCTTCTTTTATAAGGCAAACGAACCCTGTTTTTGTATAAATTGTAAGGATTAGAATTACCTGGTTTTCTCTCACATTTTAAACTTTTTCTTTTCAATTCAACAGAATAGTTTAAGTATATAATGAACTACTTACTCTTTCATTGTACATGTTTTTGGTATACGTTTTATCTGTGGCCATGTAATTCCTTCAACATAAAGAAATACTTTGAAAATAATCCATTTACTAGTATTTTGTAAAACTAGTCCTAACATATAAGTGAAGTTTTTAGACAATGCTAAATTCCCAGTGCAGTTACATACCCAGAGAGAGGTGAGGGTAACTTTTGTAAAACTTCAATAAGTGCATAAGGTGTAGGGACTGACACCAGTCCTAAAACTGAGGAGATTTTATTAATCTCTCTCTGTTTTTTGTTTGTTTGTTTGTTTTTAAGAGACAGGGTCTTGTTCTGTCGCCCAGGCGGGAGCACAGTGCAAGCATAACTCACCGTAGCCTCAAACTCCAGGATGCAAGTGATTCTCCCACCTCAGTCTCCCAATTAGCTGGGACTACAGGTGGCTACATCCAGCTAATTTTTATCTTTTTGAAGAGACGTGTCTCACTTTGTGGCCCAGGCTGGTCTCCAGCTCCAGGCTGCAAGTTGGAATTACAGGTGTTAGCTATCACACCCAGCCAATTAACCTCTCTTTTGAGAAAACGTGTATTTAAGATGAGTAATGCCTGCCTACAATCACAACAAAGGGTCTTTTCAACATTCTTACTATAGCCTTTCCCAAGCACTGGTGTCAAGGGACATGGAAAGGTGTTCTGGGTAGAAAGAGCTTTGCTGTCCACTTCATTTGAGCAGCAGAGGGTTAAAGAAACATGTTTTTCTACTTGAGGACTTCACAGAGCTTTGGTCCTGCTAAGTATCCCTCGTTAGAGTTCCCCAGCACACAAAATACAACATTCCCAAACTAATGTCACTTTAGAGCCCCTGTCTTGAAGAATATTTCATAACCTGTGTTCCACAGGAAGCACTTTGGCAAAGATGCATTACAGACATGCCTTGACTTAATGAATCATGTTTTACAAAAGTTCCCATTTCAGAGTCAAATAATCACTGCCCATAATGAGTTTTAAAAGATGTTCCCCTTACTTTTAGTGAGTGACTTTTAATTATTTTTCAAAAATATACATACTGGCAAAAACAGCAAACTTGAATGAACGCTTTTCTTAAAGTTTAAGTGGAAACTGAGCCCGACCACTAAGGTTGCAAACGCCTTGCTCATGCATGCAGCCCACTGCTTCCTGTCATCCTGGACACTTGGGCTGGGGCGGGCAAGAGGCAGTCCTGGCAGGGGTTACAGCCAGGGATCTGAAGGGCAGCCTGCCCTCTGGTCACCCCTCTCTCCACTCACCTCAACTGCACCCAAGACCGTCTCCCTAGTCTAGACCCAGGCTAGTCATTACTCGGTTACCCTGCTGTAGAGCGGGGAGTTTTCTTTTCTGCACTGATGTCTACATTCTCTTTTAACATTCTTCCCTTTCCTTTACACTTTTCCTCAGTTGTTTTAGGAAATGTATTATTTTTCTCTCTCTTCCATCTGCCTCAGAAACCTAAACTAAAGTGCTAAATCATGTCTGAAAACCATACACGCGTTAAATGGCTTTAAGGCAGGGGAAGCCACTCACTCCAGGTGAAATAAGCCAGCGAGCCAGGGCCAGCAGAGGTTCCCTTTCTGGTACTCCACGATGCTTTAGAAACTCAGAAGTCTCCCCTTTCTTATTTAAACTACTTTGTATTGTATATGAAACTTGGTTTATACAGTAGTATATTTTCTATAGTAGTATAAACAGCTATGCTGTTTTTTATTATATATGTACATCTTGGTAGTGACACTACAGAAGAAATGGGTTTTTATCAACTTTTCCAGGAACCTGTAAGAAAACAGAGTCCCAACTGACCTGCAAACGAAACTCTGAAGTGTGACACATTTCCTTCACTTTAAACCTTCCTATGCTTCATTTCTGGGCAGGAACAATAAATCTCAACTCTCATTTCGTCAATATTGTTCCTCAAAAACTTCTCCACTTCTCCCCCAAAAATGGATGAGCTAAATACAGGTCAACTGGAAACAGTATTCACTAAAGCATTATACACTGTCCTCAATGGCAGGCTGCCTCAGGACTACCTTTCATTAATTGCTACAAACAAAGATATAAGCTTAATAAGCAGACCATTTCTAAACACTAAAAAGATCTGGCATTGTTGCAGTAGATAAGAAAGGTTAAGCAACATCGGAGGGCTCTCCTCACACAACTGCACGCAGGTTCTAGATCTGTTTCCTTGTCAAAAAGCCTGGCCAATGGCGGCGGGCCTCACACAATTTCAGTTGGTCGAAAACATGGAGAAAGTGTGGCTCGCTGTCTGCTACCTTATCACAGAGGAAAAAATTAGATCAACAAAAATAAACGGTGGCAATAAGGATGCATTTCCAAGTCTTTAAAGCCCACCACAGTCGTCAGGGGCTACTTCTCATGCTGCAGTGGCAATGGCAGGACTGTGATCACTCACGGAGAGGAGGGGACAGCGCCCCTCCACCACCACCGAGAAAGCAGAACAAAGGAGGGAGCGCACCCAGCACTGAGCACGGCTGCCAGTTTCCCGGCTGGACTTTGCATGCAGTGCCTGTCTTTCTACAGAAAGCTGACCGGTGTGCATGCAGTCACTATTTCAGAATATCAGTATCTCCCATGGATGATGGCGATTTGCATTATCTAGAAAACAAGACTGGTGTGACTTCAGCTGTAATTAATGACATCTGCCCAACATGAGGCTGAAATATATGCATGAAGCATATATTACTGAGTTGGACTGAAAACATAAAAGCTCAAAGAACTCTTCTAACTTATCAAAACCTAAATTACGCAAAAATAATGTTTAGCAATCAGATACAATTTGACATTTTAGAGAGTGTGGAAAAACTTTATCCACTGAGAAACAGGATCAGTGTCTTGAGCAATACCTTTGAAAACACATAAACTAAAAAATAAAGTTTGGCCTCTCCCACAATGTGTGATTTCTTCATTATAGTGGAATGCAACAAAATATCTTGCCCTTGGGTTGCTCAGTTTCAGCCAAAACAAATGCAAATAGCTTGTCAGATGACAGCTGTTTGATAAGGCTCCTCGACAAGACCTGCATGCTTTACTTTCTTCCGTGAAACTTGGGATGAAAGGCAGAAGGCAGGAAGAGAATTAATGTAGCATACAGTCTAAAGGCAATGCTACAACCGTGATTAAGTAGAAAAGTTAAAAGGCACAGATTTTCCACAGCTTCGCTGCGTGCAACCCATCCGTGTAACAAGTTGACAGGCCTAGCGCGTCAGCTCCATCATCCCCTCCGACAGCTAAAACGCAGCACTGCATCCCTTTTCAGAGGAAATTTGCGTCTGCACCATGAAGCGTTGTACATTATTTCTTAGCACTGCAGGGGGCTCGAGTCCATATGGAACCTTCACAAATATTACCACAGATCAAACCAGCGGCGTTTGGAGGCAGATTTGACATACCTATTTAAATGAACAGCAGGGGTCCTCGGGCAGCCTCAGGCTGTGAGGGAGAGAACCTCGCGGAAGCCTGAGCCTCAGCCCCATTACTCAGCAAAGACACACTCTACATTTATCATTCATTTCATTTCTGCCAGGGCAAGAAGCTCATTTGCCCAAGGTCAACAAAAAGCGAAAAGAAGGTTTTCTTTTCTTCCCCCAAGAAATAAATGTACCTGACAAGTGGGGATTTTGTCCTTTGGGTGTGTGGAGCACAAACACACACCAGATAATTCTAAAATGCAGAGTAAATGTGCCCATTGATTCAAGCCACTGGAATCTGACTGGAGGTAGGGAAAGCCCAATAAACATTTCTGAAACTTTAAAAATTCATATAATGAATGAAACAGAACTTGACATCATGTTCTAAAAATAAAAACAGGAAATTGGCATCCAACCCCTTTTTTGCATAGTAATTCTGGGGAACTCTCCCAAATGTGAACACTATCAAATACTTATAACTCTGAAAACAAAACAAGAACTGTTCACAGCATATGCAAATGTGGCTGGAAGTCACAGTGTAATGAAATCATTTCTTAGGTTGCTTTGGGGCCCAACTTCTAGACTTAGACACTGCTTTAACTTACGAAAAAGCAAAGATTGTATGCAAATAAAAACAAAAGAGAAATAACCCTCTGATTCCCTCCCAAAGTAACTGCCTCATCGCCCCTGACAGCATCATACACTTGGCCCCCTTGTTCCTTACCTTGGAAGCACATACACATAATATTATTCAGTTGAGCACCTATCTCCTAACATGATTTCAATCTGTAAGCAAAAGCATTTTAAGGGCAAATCATTCTGATATAAATTTGATAAGGTTTACCGCTATCAAAAACAAATTAGTAAAACCTAAAGCCTTTCTTCAACACACTATCTTATCTCTAGAAGTCTTATTTTTGTCCATTAAAAAATACTAGGTAAATTCTGAAGCTGAACTAAGACTCCAGTATTAGTTTTGTAGCTTATAATTCACACTATTTAACGTAAGTGTGATATACTTACATGCATTAATGAATAATATGACTGTTTGCCAGTATAGAAGAGAAAATGAAATGGACGGCCATCTTCTCCCCACTGGATTGCTAATAAAAACAAAGATGAAAATAAATAAAAATATATGAAGAGACAGACAAAACAGCTGTATATGAGCACAGTTATGAGAAACATTTATAACTGTGATTAACCTGTAAAAGAACAAAAAAGTCATTTATATTTAGAATTTTTTGTTTTGTTTTTTGTTTTGAGTTGGAGTCTCACTCTGTCACCCAGACTGGAGTGCAGTGGCCGCTCCCGGCCACCGCAGCCTCGACCTGCTGGGCTCCAGTGATCCTTCTGCCTCAGCCTTCCGAGTAGCCGGAATTACAGGCACGCACTACCACGCCCGGCTGATTTTTTGATTTATTGGAGAGTTGAGGTCTCACTGCCCAGGTGGGTCTTGAACCCGCGGGCTCAGGCAATCCACTCACCTCAGCCTCCCAAAGGCGTGGGATTTAAGGCTGAGCCACCGAGCCCGGCAGGCCTGAGTCTTAGTAGTTGATCAAAATGGAGGTGACAGGAGGACATGGAAGGAAAAGACACTACCTTTTTTTTCTTCTTCTTTATCTTTTTTTTAAGTCAGAGTCTCACTCTGTCTCCCAGGCTGGAGTGTAGTGGCACTCTCATGGCCACTGCAGCCTCGACCTGCTGGGCTCAGGTGATCTTCCGCCTCAACCTTCCAAGTTGCTGTAACTACAGGCATGCGCCACCACGCCCGGCTAATTGTTTTATTTATTGTAAAGATGAGGTCTCACCAAGTTGCCCAGGCTGGTCTTGAACCCCTGGACTCAGGCAATCCTCTTGCCTCGGCCTCTCAAAGTGGTTCACGCTTGAACCACTGCACCCGGGAAACTACCATTTTATTGAACATTAAGACAGGCATCTTGCTGGTGCTGACGTATGTGCAAAGACTGACTTAGAGATGAGAAGGTTAAAAATGACTGAAGTGGAAACCAGCATCTTTTGTTACTCCAGTCTGTGCAGAAGGAAGAAAGACTTGAAAGAAGTGAATGTGAGTGGCAGAAAAACCCTCTATGACTGGCACCCTGCCTTCTGCCAGTGCAGCTCATTTTTCCACCAAAAGCCTCCTAATAGAATCTCAGCCCCAAACAAGGCACAGGGAGTAGGGGTGGTGCTGATAACCATGCAGCCGGTTCTGAGGTGGCACGGGGGCATTGAGACCTGGGACCAGAATGACTCCAACCCTCTGCCTTCAATATTCCCACAGCCCACATGGCCACCACTTCTTAAAGTAGAAGGGACATGTCTCTGCCACCATCCACATTCTTTTCTCCTGAGGAATTTTGCCAGGAACTTCATACTGCCACATGGAGCTAGGCTGGGTATTTCCAGGACACGAGCCATTTTCCCTGTGCTCAGTAAACAAGGTGCAGGTCCCTGAATTCCTCAGAGAAGCTACAAAGGTCACTGGGGTCAGCCCTGGTGGCCAGCTGACCTCTGAATTCCTACCACAGGGGCAGGAGCCCCCAGGAAAGCCCTGTGGTGGCGGGTGAGTCTGCAAAGCTGACTGGGGACCCTGGGCTGGTGGCGTCTGCCTTCTGCTTTAATATAACCATATGGTACTAACAGATGCAAAGCTAAGCTGGCTTCCCTGTTTAAGGAGAGTGGATTTAACTTCTACGCGATCTGGGTTATCACCAATGTTGTTTCCCTGTTATACAAATTGCTTTTTACTGCTTGTTGTTTTTCTAACATTATTTTCTCCTTCTGACCAAGGTAAATACTGAAGAGAGGTGATTAGAGGGGGAAAAGAGCATGGGAGAAAATCCTGGAGATATACTTCCAAACCAATAGAGGATTTTTTTGGTTTTATTTTCAGTTAAATTGTACAGCAAAGGCTTATAGAAGTGAATTACGATACCAGAAATTCTCTGCCCAGCTTGCAGTTGTTGGTATATTTTAATCCTTATGGGTGACATTAACAGTTTTAGTGTGTATTAATTATCTGCCATCTGGCCTATTTATTTCAAATACAGCTTCTGAATTCATGGATATTTATGTGGTTTTTGTTTTGTTTATATATATCTTTTTATTTCATAATTCAAGGTAGAGAGAAACTCAGCACTCAGTTTTAGAAGTTCATCCTCTGAAGTTCAAAGAAGTAAAAATGTGTTTCCTCTCCTAAAGTTATTAGTTTGATAAGCTGAAATCATTAAAGTTTCCAAGATGGAAAATATCAAGATTCAAACATTAATGTTAGCAAGATTCCAACAGATAAAATCTAGTGACCTGATTTTCTCTGAAAGTAACACAAGTATATAAATAGATTAAACTGACAAATACACGTGTCTACTTATTAAGTGCCAACCACGATTGTCAGCACTTTATAATTATTAACTCGGGCAGGCAGCGAGAGAGCCGGAGCTAGCTGGCAGGAGCCATGGCAGGACAAGCATTTAGAAAGTTTCTTCTGCTTTTTGACAGAGTATTCGTTGAAAGGAGCACAGCTGAAACTTTAACCAAGGGAGGCATTATGCTTCCAGAAAAATATCAGGGAGAGGTACTGTAAGCCACAGTGGTGGCTATTGGCTCAGGCACCAAAGGAAAGGGTGGAGAGCTTCAACCAGTTAGTGTGAAAGTTGGAGATAAAGTTCTTCTCCCAGAATATGGAGGCACCAAAGTAGTTCTAGATGACAAGGATTATTTCTAATTTAGAGATGGTGACATTCTTGGAAAGTATGTGAACTGAAGCAATTTTTTGTTGTTGTTGTTGTTGAATTGGTATCAACATGAAACTGTTCATTCCACTGAAGTTGTGAAATCTTTCATCATGTAAATAATTTTCATGTCTTTCTTTTATAATAAACTAATGATGCCTAAACGAATCACATCTAGTGTCTCTAAAATTTCGTCTTGTTGTACTGATATAAACATTTCAAATAAAAATATGAAAATTAAAAGAAAGAAAGAAAACAATTATAAACTCATTTCATCTTTGTGACAATTCTAGGAAATAGGCATTGTCATTACCCCATTTTATGGATGAGAAAGTTGAAGAACAGAGAGGTTAAATAACTTGGTAACGGTCAATTGCTAGGAAGTAGAGGAGCCAACACATAAACCCAAGCTGTCTGGTTCCAGAGCCATATCCTTGTCCCATAAATGATACCTCTCAAAAAGGAGGCCCTCCTCTTGAGACACAGAGATAATCAAGGCATCTACCTTAAGTCAAGTCCTGTGTGGGTACACCGTTCATGAGTTAAGGCGCTCCTTGGAGACAGGAATTATGAAGGGCTAGATGGGTTGCCCCAGACCATGCAGCTGGTATGTGGATGGACAGGTTTTGAATTCATTATGTAACATCAAGAACATATTTTTAATTATTATTTTTTTTTTGAGTTGGAATCTCACTCTGTCGCCCAGACTGGAGGGCAGTGACATGCTCCCGACCACTGCAGTCTCGACCTGCTGGGCTCCGGCGCCTTCCGCCTCAGCCTTCCAAGTAGCCGAAATTATAGGCATGCACTACCACGTCCGGCTGATTTTTTGATTTATTGTAGAGATGAGGTCTCGCTGCCCGGGCAGGTCTCGAAC